CCCCCCTCAAAAAAAAAGAAAAAAAGAAAAAAGAGAGAGATTGAAGCATACCGACGAGGGGCAGCCACAGAAACTGCAGACGCACAAGGGCTAAGATGGCCATGACGAACCAGAGCACAGGCTGGACGTACAATGCCATCCAGAAGAACCTGCTATCGGTTGCGTTTATCGTCTTGGTAGCTGGGTCGCTGCTCTCAAACACCCACTTGGAGTCCCCGGAGGAAGGGTCTACCTCGTTCCACCACCTGAGGCCTACCAGGCGTCGTCCAGCAATGTTCTTGAGGTAGTAAAAGTCTGCGGCGAGTAGGAGTATGGTGATGATGAAGATCATAATCCTGCGTTATCGTGTCTGTCAGTGCGCTGGTCCCTCTCCACTCCCTCCAGAAAAAAAAAAGCATTGCCTCCCTTGTTGAAGATCAATCTTCGTCGCGCGCGGTGCGGCGCAGGGCAGGGCAGGGTAGAGTAGGGTAGGGTAGTCTCTTACATGCTCTTTATCACCCACAGACCGAGAAAGTAGATGACGACGCTGGCTATTGTTGTATAGATATATAAGAAGTCAGCCGGGTAGGTTTCCCAGATAAACATCCTCCCCCGTAGGAACAAGGGAGATGGGGAGGGAACGCACAGATCCTGAAACCTAGAAACGTCAAGAGCGTGATGGGATGCGAACTGAGTCGCCAGCTCAGCGCACCCGGAAGCGCCTGCTGTTGCGCCTGCTGCTGCGTGGCGTCCATGATGTCTAGTCTCCCTCCCGGTCGTATGATGCCGTATTCTGGTATTTCGTTCTGTTCCGTCCCGTTGCGTGCGTGTATATATGGTATGTATGCGCGTGCGCCGGCGGAGGGGAGGAGGGTCGTCTTGTCTTGTCGTCTTGGTCGTAATCAATCAAGCTACGTAGCTGTTTGAAAGGGGACGGAGGGAACGGTGGTCGCCATTGAAAGGCGGTATGCTGTGGCAGAATGGGCAGCGCACACCGATACGGTAAGCCACCGTGTTTTACGGTACGGAGTAGCTAATACATAATACTGACAAACACGTATTGAAAATAACCGAGCCAATCGTCACTTCCCCAACACGGCAGCTCATATGTGATAGCCGACTTCACAGCTTCACAACTTCAACTATGATCATCACCGTCTCCTGCTTCTTCTAGTGATACTCAGGCCGTCAATCTTATTCTACTCTATCATACCGTGTATCTCCATCACTCAATGGCTCTAACACCATCTCCTTCATTCATACATACCGTATCTCCGTAATCCATCATGGCAGCTCAATCAGCATCCATCCTCCGCCGCTCACTACTATACGGTACGTCACCTGCATCCTACCCCAGCTCACGACAGAAGCAGGAGAAGGAGATGAAGACGAAGGAAACAATGCATACGCACGCACACACACACAAACACGCACAGAAATCATGGGGAGAAAAAGACTGACGATACCCCCAAGTCCCCGCATCATCCCAAAAGATGCTAACAAAGTCCCTAACCATCCCCTCCGACAACATAACCTACGACCTAGAAGACTCAGTGACACCCCATCTCAAGCCCATCGCCAGAGCCCAGCTGAAATCTCACCTCTCTTCATCTTCACCCCTCCCCTCCTCCTCCTCCTCCTCCTCCTCCTCCTCCTCATCATCATCATCATCATCATCATCGTCTACACGAAGCGAACTAGCCGTCCGTATCAACGCCATCTCCACCACCTTCGCCCTAGAAGACCTGACAACGCTGGCGTCCGCACCCTCCCTGGATGCAGTGGTAGTCCCCAAGGTCGAGTCGGCCGCCGATCTGACCTTTGTCACCGACGTCCTACGCCACGTATGTCCCGAGAGGCACGGCGCTTCCTCTCCGGCAGGGGAGCAGGGCGGGAGAGACCCCATCAGGATCATCGCCCTGATCGAGTCGGCCAAGGCGGTCATGGACCTACCCTCCATCTGCCGCTCGACGCCGTACCTGAGCGGCCTCATATTCGCAGCCGAGGACTTCAGCCTGGACCTGTCCATCACGCGCACACCGTCACTGACCGAGTTCCTGTACGCGCGGTCTGCCATCGTCACGGCCGCGCGCGCGGCCCGCCTCCCCAGCGCGATAGATCTGGTCTGCACCGACTTCCGAGGCGACGCCGGCCTGCGCAGGCTGGAGGACGAGTGCGTGGGTGGCAGGGGCATGGGCTTCAACGGGAAGCAGTGCATCCACCCCGGTCAGGTCGCCACGGTGCAGCGCCTGTTTGCTCCCGCCGCCGAAGAGGTCGAGTGGGCGGTCAGGATTGTCGTCGCCGACGGCAAGGCCTCCCGCCGCGGGAGGGGCGCGTGGACCCTCGACGGAAAGATGATCGATGCGCCTGTCGTTGGGAAGGCTCATGCCATCGTCGCCAAGGCTGTGCAGTGTGGGTTCGATGTGCAGAGCCTCAGAGACAAGTGGAGTTTGCAGGAGCCAGAGTGAAAGTGACCTTGTCTTTTTTTTTTTTTTTTTTTTTTTTTTTTTTCAAAAATAGGAGGGGGGGGAGGGTGTGTGTGTGTGTGCATGTACTTTGAATCTAAGGAGACTTGTCCCCCCCATCAAATCAAGTGATTAGGCCTCCAGAACTTCGACATGTCTATATAGCCATCTACAGGCTTCATCTGACCTTGGTGAGGTGGAGATGGTAGCCAGGCTGGCCCTGATGAATGACCCTCTTGGGTTCTGATGACTGGGTCCAGCCGGTTTACAATGCAATCGCCGAGCTCCTCCTGGGAGGCACAGCCAGCCTTCCTTCCGAACACTTCTTCTTCTATCCTCCGGATAAACTGCCACATCGATTCTCTCGGAGGGTGACGAGCCTTCTCTACTGCGCTGCTCCGTTGGTATGCCTGCACCCCGGGCGTTGGAGCTTGTTGGGGTGGGAGCGTATACGGGTCACTCTGACTCCCGGAACGCTGGCTCTTATGATGCATGTACGAGTAAGTGGACTGTGCATGGTTACCGGGTGCTACAGTGTGCCGTCGGGCCCTGTCACGTTGGACATTTTCCACCCTGGGTGCTGAACTTGGCACTTCCATCCTCTGTCGGGATATCATTGGGCTTCGGGAGACTCGAGTGAGCCCAGGGGTGACCATGACACCTCTGTCAACATAGTGTTTCGGGCCATCTTGGCAGTTCCGTATTGCGTCTGCAGGATTGTTCTCGTGCTGCAGCAGAGCAGCAGAGTGACCCAGCGTGCCCGTGTCGAGCAACACTCTCAGGGTATACTCTGGATTGTGGGGCTTGAACCAAAACTCACCCAACTGGCTGTTCCCATCCGACCTGCCGTGAACTCGTGAGCTACTGGTCCGCGAGGGAGCTGTGCCGTGCGAGTACCTCCTCAGCGCCGTGCGTCGGCTGTTGGTGGACAAGGGATATTGCCAAGCATCATTATCCTGTCTGCGAACCTTTCGTCGTAGCCTCTGGTGTCGCCTCCTGCCGTCATTCGCACCGTCTCGGTTCATGAACAGCATATCGTCAAAGGCGAGATCTTCTACTGACAAGAGTCAACTCGGTAGGTCGGATAGCAACACACGAGGGGTAGCTTACTCTGTCGCCCGTTGGAAGTTCGCCCGTTTCGGAAGAGACCGGTAGTGAGATTTGGTTTTAACTGAGCATGAATGATGCTTAGCAGATGGCGGCCTCGACATCTCGGGCGGGCATGCTCACCAAAATCCCGTTGCTGGGGACGGCAGCAGAAGAGAAGTTCCTCATGACCCGCTCCGTCGGCCTGAGCGGCACTCTGCCGTCGATCCGGCCTTCTCGATGCTTCCCTCTACTCTCCCTCGACTTCACGTCGCATCTATCAAACCTCGTCTTCCTCCGGGGCCTCCGCTCGTAGATGCCCTCTGCTGAGACGTGGGGGCCGGTTGCCCCGTAGGCTTCCCGACAACGACGTATGCTGTGCGTTTCGGCGGCGGCTGGCACCGGCACGCCCAGAGAAGATGCTAGGTCGCTGTACTCGTATGAGTTGGGTGGATATCTTTGGCAGGGTGAGATTTCGTCATGGCCGTCCTGGGAAACGTGGTCTGCTCCGTGACTGCCACTGGTGTGACCGTGATCTACACCGAGGCTGTGCTGCTCCCCCTGGCCAGGGCGCTCAGGCTGATGGTGGTCGGCGTGCATCTCTGACAGCCAAGAGAGAACAAAGTCCCTATGGCCATGGCTCTCGCCGGGATCTCCCATGTTATCGCTCGAGCGGCCCGATAGTGCAGAAGTCCGTTGATCGTTCTTGTTCTCTGTAAAAGCGCGGGAGTGGTGATATGCCGATCTGGCTTGCCGGGGATGTTCGTGCCCAACGGACTGTGCGGCAGTCTATACATGGCTCACATCCCCCCCCCCGGTCAGAAAAGGAGAGAGAGAGAGAAAGAGAGAGGAAGGCAAGTGTCGAGGATATTGTGTGTCCAGTCCACGCACGCCAATCACATCTCCCCGAAACAAAGACAAAACCCCGAAAGAGAGAGAGAGAAAGGGGGGGGGGGGGGGGGGGGGGGGGGGGGGGGGGGGAAGGGGTCCCGCCAGGCGAGGAAGTAGCTACCCAGGGCAAGGTGATGATCTACGTACGGCAGGTGCGGTGTCTACGGCAGAATGTCTCGCGTACCGCTGTAATGATCTGTTACCTGACAATACTGGTACGAGAACGGGTATACTCGTACTTATCCGTATACTACTCTCGTATGTGGTAGGCAAGTGTGCGCAGCTGGTGAGAAGATGGATCTCCCATCTTTCAGGGTCAGCTCCAGTCTTGGCAGAGGTTGACGAAAAGGGCAGATGAAGCACATGGACGATACTAGCAGAGACAGAGCCACCCCCCCTCACCCCCCCTCGTAACCTACACACCCCCCCGTGCTCTGGTGTTGGGTTTGTTCCTGCAACTTGTAGAGCCGCGCCGGCGGGACAGGAGAAACTAGTCAGCCCGGGGCGGGGAGGGGTCAAGCTGCAATATTTAATATATACCGTATATTGACAATACGATATAATCTATAACCCGTAGTATGTACGGAGTGATATTATATATTAACGTAGTCTATTAGTGAGGATGAGCCCACAATCCTGGTGGAATTTCTTGGGGGGGGGGGGCTCGAGTTTTAGCTTGTCAAGGAAGGAAAAAATAAGGTTACATGTGGCCCTGCTGCTTGGGGGCCATATTAAGTCTTGGCCTTTTTTCCCTCCTTCGGACCTTTGGATCCTTCCCGGCTGCGCTTCGTAACGGTCACGTAATGATGGGCCTTGTTATGCTCTTGTCACGATAGATGGTCGTCTTCTCTACATGTAGCTCGTCATAGTCGAGTACATGATGACAGTGCATGCATTCATTACTCGTAGATGTGCACGAGTAGGGGGTGCGTCGGGCGTCCGTATGATGGCCGTATGAGAAAAGGGTGCTAGTCGTCGAGCGAATCAGCGCATGGATGGACGGTGCTGAGCGATAGCAGCAGAAGTAAGTAATAAATGCTCCGTGGCAGTCATGTGTAACACGGGCGCATGATCTGTGATGAGTAAATTCTACAGACCACATGCAGGCACGTGGATTTGAATGAGACGCGCAGAGAGAGGGCTGCGAGGGCAAGGGTATCTCACTTTTACATGTGCCTATGAGTACAGGTAATGTGTATCTGGTGCTTCGGGCTGTCGGGGATTGTTGAGTGGGTGAGTGGGTTGATCAGCATCTTTACAGGTAAGTTGTTAGCATGGCCTGGTATCATTAACGATTGGCCTCGTCAAAAGTCGAGTGATGAGAGGGAGAGGGAGAGGGAGAGGGGAGAGGGGGGATGGGAGGGAAGGGGAGAGGAGGGGAGAGGGGAGGACTGGTGAGAGTCGTAAGACTTCGTCCGTCGTGAGACTGATTGGTGAGAAGACAGCCGTTGGAGGAAGTAAGGATAATAATGATGGACTGAGACGATGAAACGTGAGTAGCAAGGAGGATCGTCAGAAAATCTGTCCTTTTCAGCAGGCCGCAGGACCCGACCTGTAAGATACATGTGCTGGATACATACCTGTGTACATGTGCATGAGAGAGGGCAGAGAGCTCCGAGATAAAGAGGGGAAGAGCAGAGAGAGAGGGAGAGGGGGAGGGAGCGGGAGAGGGAGAGGGAGCGGGACGCTCACTCGGGGGGAGGGCGCGAAGGGGGGAGAAAGGATGAAGAGGAGGCAGAGGAGGGTAGGCTCAGGCAGCTGCAGGTCAATCGGGAATTGGGATCTGAGAAAAGTGTGGCAGTGCTGTTTATCGGGATCTGGAGGATCCCTGAAAGGGGGCCTCTGGGTACGAGTAGCGGGTGACGTGACAGTAGACAGTGGACAGTGGACAGTGGGACAGTGGATAGTTGGACGCTCAGGACAGGGACAGGTTCTATGGGTAAGAATGTAATGATTGAAAAAAAGCTATCCGTACTTGAGCTGTACCTAACCTGTCTGGACTCGTACGTTTTCCCTCAGCGGTGAAAGCGGCGACGCTTTTCCGAGAAGAAGAAAAAAAGAGAGCGTGACAAGCTCAGTTGTTGACATTCGTCACCCCTCCCCCCATGTACTTGAGGCTGTGTACGTTGCAACCCATGTACGGCCAGGCGGGCATCAGCCATTAGGCCTACTCTGTAGATTAAAAATATAAAATTCGTATCGAGTTTGTAAATAGCAAGAGAGAAAAACAACAACAACAACATCAAGTAGACAGACTGTATTAGTATTCGTAAGGGACAACTTTTTTTTTTTTTTTTCAAAAAAAAAAGACCTATTAATAACAATCGAAACATGTCGAGTCTTACTACGTGGGGATGTGTCCGTTGTATCAGAGCAAAACATGAGAGCAGCCTGAGACTTTTTTTCCCCCTTCCTTTTCTTTTCTTCTTTTTTCACTGTTCTATTTCAGTCTAGGATACGGAGTAATAGTTCTAGACCCGGGAGATTCACATCGTTTTTTTTTATCAATAAAAACCTGTAGTTGCAAACTTCACGAGTATGTATTACTTGCAGATAATACTACTAGCAGATGTACATTCTTGCAGTGACAGAAATATCACCCCCGTCATAGTCTCTACGGAGTAGTCTGCTTTAGCCCAGGCCCCCTTTTCTCCTTCTCCTCCTTCCCTTCCCGAAGGAGGCGGGTGGGTGAATATGAGAAGAAGGCGGACGAGGTTGTACGGCTCAGACCAACGATACATGTATACGAGTACATGATCCGACTTTATATATTGATACTACCTACATACCACAGCTCCCCTCAACAAACCTGACCGTCAATATCATGATGGCAAGTCTTTGTCTCATTCACGACCAGTAATACTCTCATCATCGATAGCTAAGAGACGAACTAGCCGTCTCCTCCTCTACGAGTAGTAACGATGATGATGATGATGCTCCGTACATTACGAGTACCTCTATATCCAACAACCCAGACCAGACCAAACCAACCCTCCTCCCCCCCCCCCCTCTCTTCCGACCCATTCTACACTAACAAACGCACTGCCTACTAAGTGTAACACCACTCCACCACTGCGCCCCTCTCCCCTTCCTCTCCCTCCTCGCTCCTGAAGCGAAGCAGCAGCGGCGAGATGCGGTACCTGGAGCTAAAAAGTATATGTAAGTATGTAGCTCGTTCTAGCTCAGGTAAGCTGCTCGACTAGCACGAATAGCTCGTGGCTCATACATACGAGTACAATGTGGTAATATCGTATATATATATATATCTACGCACCCGTATGCCCTGTATTACTCGTCGTACATGCACGTATCGCTAGCAGTATTACACCACCCACCGTATGTCGTATATTATATGTATGCACGGGTACGAGTAGTATGATCTGACTACTCTTGTACTAACGGCTAGCCCGTAATACAATACTCCTTATACTCGTACGCGGAAACCCGGGAGGCAGCCAACGCACCTTTTGAACAAAGACAAGCCATGTCCACCTCAAGTAAGTCACCGTGGTGTTGGTGTTGTGACCTTGGCTTCCATTTCTTTCTTCCTTTCTTTTCTCCCTCTCTCTCCCGCCCGAAACCCCCCCCCCAAAGTACGTGATCGGACCCCAAGGCGAAAAAGCAACACTCACTCACACCTATACACACAACCTCCCCCCCCCCCCTTTCTCTCTCGTACATTAAACCAATTCCGTTAATCGTACTCGTAGAAAAGTGTAATGGCGTTACCCCAACAAGTAATAATAAACCGTATATTAGAATAAAAACCAAAACAAAAGAAGATTCATAAAAATAAAAAATAAAAAAAGAAGTTGACAGTACACGCGCGCGCGCACACACACACACACGCACACATACACACATATACACACACCCCGTTCCTTGTCTCAAGCATTTCACCACACCACCTAGCACGGATACATACTAACCCCTGTCTTCCCCCGTTTCTGTTTCGTCCTTGTTCTAGTAGCAGCAGTATTAAGTATTACTACTTGTACTTTCTCTCTCTCTCTCTCTCTCTCTTTTTTTTACTTTCCCTTTTCTCTTTCTCTTTCTCTTCTTCCTCCTTCTTATCCTATCAAAAGATATAAAAAAAGAAATCGTATCGGCTCGGTTTCCTCCCCCCTTACAGTCTGTCCTTTCCGCCGTATTGTTCTTGTTGCGGTTTTACGGCCTTTATTTATTTATCCATCTTCTCTGAAAACCTTGCTGCTATCAAGCATTGAACTAAGCTTCTCTCCATCTTGTGCTCTTACAACCAAGGTAGCTTGCTACAACAACACGACAACAGCAACGACAACAACAACGACAGCGACAACGACAACTGCTACAACTGCTATTACTACTACTACTACTACTACTACTACTACTACTACTACTGCTACTACTACTACTACTGCTACTACTGCTACTACTGCTACTACTGCTACTACTATTACTACTACTACTGCTGCTGCTGCTACTCTTGTTGCGGCTTGGTCCTCTGTTCTTCGAGCTCTTGACATAATAAATCCAGCTTTGCTTCAGAACCACTCCCCCCCCCCTCCCCCTCGAGAACTAAGAGCTGTCATGACTTTTCGGACCTCGGATAGTACGATACACACTCGCTCGTATGCTGACAACGTTTCCCAGAGGCCTTGCCTGGCACACCGAGGAGGCTGTTCTCCGCACCAAGTTTGAGGAGTTCGGTCCTGTCGAGGAAGCTGTACGTTCTTCTCCTGCTCTCTCTGAATGCTATTCCCCTTGTCCCCCCCCCCATCTCTCGTCATATGCGTGAGATGGAAAACCCCCCGCCGTCGAGCCGCACCCCGGCCGCCTCCGCCACCAACACCCCTGCGAACCCAATTGACCACACGATTGTTCATTTCCGCCCCTTCCCTGCCTCTGGCACTGCCACCTCGATCCCCACCTCTGTCCCCGCTGCGGGTACGACGTGATAGAGATCCCGTTCTGACTTGATATTACCACAAAGGTCGTCGTCAAGGACCGCGATACCGGACGTAGCCGTGGCTTCGGCTTCGTGCGCTACACACAGGAGGCAGATGCCCAGCAGGCCATCGCTGCCATGAACAACATCGAGTATGACGGCCACTCCCCTGCATGCCCTCTATTCCCGCCTGGCCGGACCTGTGACAGCTGACCTGTCGATTCCAAGGTTCGATGGACGAGTGATCCGCGTCGACAAGGCTTCCGACAACGGCCCCCGCGGAGGTGGTCGTGGCGGATACGGAGGCCGAGGTGGCGGCTTCCACGGTGCTCCCATGCCTTACGGCGCCGCCCCTGTTCCCGGCTACGCTATGGGCGTTCCCTATCCCGTACCGTACGGCCGCGGCTACGCTCCTCAGCCCGGATATGGGGCCCCTCCTCAGGGTAATATATATATATATATACCCCCGCCAGGGCCAATGCCAAATATGGCAGCCGCAAGATAACAGGAATCAGAAGCTGATCGTCAACAACAAATAGGTTTCGTCCCTCACCCGGCCCAATTCTCCGCCTATCCCGATCCGAACCAGCAGCAGATCCCTCCGGCTATGCCACAGCAGGCTCCTCCCGCACAGGGAGGCAGGGGTTTCTGAGCCACATCTCCATACTCTTCAACTTTGACACCAAGCCGACTTCTTTATTTTTTTTCTTTCATTCTTCATTCCGGATTTAGGGCGACGCAGCTGGATTGTGGAGGCACTTGGTGAATTCGTGGATGGTGTTGGGCTGGCCTGCACAGGGTGCATGGTAGGGAAACATGGTGCTGGGAATGAAACAAAACATGGCAAAAAGTATAAAATTGCCTATCCAAATTGCCTTTGGGTTTATTTTTTCCTGCAACAGAAAGACGGGGAAAGGAAAAGGGAGATTCACGCCGGAAGACAGGTTTCATGATGACATGACGGTATAGAGTATGGAAACAGAAGCGAAATGGGGCGTATAGGAATTTCACCCTTTCGGATTGTACTAGTACTCGCGGAGGATCAGGCCTGGAAAGGAACCCCTCGGCTCAGGGAGACGGCAAGACGGTGGGCTACTGGGCCGTTGGCCACCATCGGTTGCGTCCGTCCATGTTGCGTGGCTTTCCTCATCGTCAGGAACCCTTTTCAAACTCTTCAGTATCCTTAATCACGTTCGCTTTCCGGGTGCTGGCCTTGTCGGAGCCGTCGCCACCGGTCGTAGATGTCCCCATGGTCGTGGCAGCAGACTTCCTTTGCAAGGCGCGGACCCTCTCGGCGAGGTCGTGGATGTGAACGTCGCCGCTCTCCGGGTCGAGTTCCTCGAGAGCTGCATCAAGACTGAGAAGGTAGTCTGGGTTAGGTCCGCTGGGCCCGACGCATCGGAAGATGTGCTCGGCCAGCTCCTGGGGGTCCTGGGGCCCCACAAACTGCTCATTGTCCGGGGTGCCGATGTAGACGAGGGTCCTGATGGGAGAGCCGCCTTCGCCGTCACCCTCACCGGCCGGGTGGAAGGGCGTGTAGTGGATCGTGTAACCGTTGATCTCGCGGATGTCGAGGTACTCCTTTACTTCGGGGACCTTTTCGGGCTTGATGCGGTAGGCGACGCCCCAGACACGCTCGGGACTTGAGTCGTGGTGGTCGACGAGTGTCTCCCAGTACGACCTCTCGATCAAGGTGACGACCCGGCCGGGGGCCTCGGGTGTACCACGATGGTCTTCACTTTTTTACGTTTCCAAGAAGAAGGATATCAGCCGGCGTCATGACGATCACATTGTAACAAGGAATATCTCATCATACCTGGCCTGGGAGACATGTTTGTGTCAGTACGTACGGCTGTCTGGACAATATAGGAGAAGTTGATTACAAACCTGCCAGAACCGGCGTACATAACCCGTCACCCAACCGGGGATCCTCCTGTCTGTCGAATAAAGAGTCAACCCGTAGTGCCTTTTCTCCAGCGGGCGTCCAATACATTCATACCGAAATGGGGCGGAGGCTTCCATATGAGGCTCCTGTAATGGTGGTTAGTGTCGGCACATCGGATGAATCTGAACCACAGCATCCTCACCCGTAACCGAATAACCAGAATTCGGTATCATTCTCTGCCGGGCTTACGGCGGCCATGGCGGGGGGGAGTGTGGGGGGGGGGGGAGTAGAGCGGGAAATGTAACTTGGCACCTAGAAAGACAGAAAAGGAAAGAAAATGACCAGGGACAAATCAAAGTAAAGATCCAGAGACGCTACGCCTCCGATATTATCATGTACGAGGCAGGAAGGGTCCTGGAAAAGTAGGCGATGTTGTCTACGCTCGTCAGCTGGTGTGGTGGTGGGGAAGTAACGCAGCGAGTCGTACCTGCCCCGCTACCGGCCCTCGGAGACGCCATAGCACATAGACAAAAGGCAGGTGCAGCGTCAAAGCTCCTTCCTCCCCTTGTCAGTCCGAGACGAGCGCTTACAGTGGAGTCTCTCTTCTGGGAGAATACACGCAACGTATATGTAATACTATACCACTCACCACCGACGTGATGATTCTCGGTAACATTAGAATGTTCGTGTTATCTGCGACTTCGTGTTAATCACGGAACGTGAATACTCTAGATACCAGTACCTTTCTCTCCATAATCTCCACGCTGTCTTGGCCTTGGCGAGGGGCGCAGCATGGAGGATGGAGGTGAACGAGGACGTGGTCTTCTCTTCATCAGCCCTTTTGCCAGGTACATACTTCGTACTCGCTATAATTTACGGTCCCAACAGCTCGTGATGCTATGTTTGGCAACCAGGACAGCCAGCTTTACAGGATATTACTACTACTGACATATATCGTCATCTTTGCCCAGATATATCCGTAGATAGTAATCCTACGTAGTAGCACTACTAAAACAGTAGCACTACATAATACTACTCATAGCTGCTCATATCCAACTCCAATCTACCTCCGTCATCTCGCTTTCGCTTTCTCCCTACTGCAGTCCTCTCTCTCTTCCAAACGCTAGGCACCCTGCCCCACCCCACACAAGGTAATCCGGAGTCCATCCAACGGGAATGCCACTTAAACCTGGTCTGGCGCGCGCAACTCCCCTCCTTCTTCAATCTCAAACGTCCCCCTTCTCCCTCAAGTGTCTGGGGCGATTGTCCTTTCTCTTTGTGCTTGCTCCTCGTTTGATACCCTTTCCTTCTCAAAGTCGTGCTTTTATACATCTAGACGGCTCTTCGATTCTTCCACCACCGTGGTGTCCAGTCATCGCTTGCGCGCTCTACGAGAGAAAACAGAGAGACCCTCCGCTCCCCCCGCCTAACCCGCCCATCTATCAACAAACCTCTCCTTCGTCGCGCGATCCAGCCTTCGGACCCTCTTTGGTGTAACTTGGTCACTCCGTCGCATTTCTTCATACACACATATATTCGCTGCCCATCATGGCGTACAGACAGCCCCAAGATCCCGACGCTCTCCCTAGGTATGTTACTTTTTTTTTTCTCCCTTCCCTCGTCGAGCCTGCCCCGCCCGCTCCTCGTTGCGATAGAGGATAGCTACTAACGATCCACGACACAGGTTTGCTGAGCCAGAGGTAAGCTTCTTTATTTCTCAAACCGTCTTCCCATCATGTGATATCTTCATCATCTCCGTCGTTTTGGACACGCAGAATCGCCCACTAATCACAACCCACCCAATAGAGGACCGGTGCCTCAGCACCTCCAACCCACGCAACCTACGCAGCCCCGCCTCCGCCTCCTCCACAAGAGAAGCCGGCGCCCCCTCTGCCCTCCCCGCAGAGGTACGGATACTCGTCCCCTCCCCTCGTCCCCCACCACCCCCCTCCTCCAGTCCAGGCCCGTCCGCCCGCCTCCTCTCGTCCTCCTCCTACCCCTGGACCTGACGGCTCAGCCGCCGACCCTACTCTCCTTCCCCTTTTCCGCGCCGTTGATAAGGATGGTAAGACACAGACGCTCTCTCTGATATATACGACGTGCTGTCCTGCGTCGGAGCTTTCATTTTTCTGACTTGGCATGTGTGTGCGCACTCTATAGGCGGCGGCCAACTATCCGAACGCGAACTCTCGACAGCCTTGGTCAATGGCGATTGGACGGCCTTTGACCCGCAGACGGTGCGCATGATGATTCGCATGTTCGACACGGACCGCAGTGGCACCATTGGCTTCGATGAGTTCTGCGGCCTGTGGTCCTTCCTGGGATCGTGGCGCACCCTCTTTGACCGCTTCGACGTTGACCGCAGCGGCAACATCTCCCTCGAGGAGTTTAGCGACGCCCTCGTCGCCTTCCGCTACCGCCTCAGCGCCCCGTTTGTAGAACTCCTCTTTCGCACCTACGACAAGCGCCACGAGGGCGTCATGAGCTTTGACCTCTTCGTCCAGGCCTGCATCTCTCTGAAGCGCATGACTGATGTCTTCAAAAAGTACGACGACGACCGCGACGGTTACATTACCCTCAGCTTCGAGGACTTCCTTAGCGAGATTCTCAAGCAGCTCAAGTAGATGGCCAGGGCGCACCACACACCGGTCAACCTTGGCTGCCATATCACCGAAGCCTCTCCTACGTATCTAGACGTTTATATACATGTATTACAACAAACACATCAACCACCGACACATACCTTTCCACAGGGCGGATATTCCCCGTACGATTTTGGAGAACAAGCATGGCGTGATTCAAAGATAGCAGCGCAGCACCATGCGCAGCACTAAACAGGAGGAGCAGAAAATGACAGATGAATGTTTCAATTGGATGGCGATATATAGGAGGATTTCCTCTTTTCGACTGCTCATATATTACAGTCGGATCCATTTCATTGTTACTATAAAGCCCCTGTCCCCGCCCTTGCCATGGTGCGGACTCAACCCACGCTGAACAGAGGAACGTTCAGAGTGAAAGCGAGTGTTAGACACTCAATACCTCGGAGCAAGTAAAATTATAAATACCATCCATCTCAGAGAACGGTTTCGAGTCAATGTCAATATCCGCCAGCACATCTCCCAATTCGTACTTGCTCCAGGCCGGCAGCGACCAATCCTCGCTACTATCAACCGCCGTCTCCTTACTCGAGATATGCGACTGGACCCGATAGCTCTGATGCTCCGTCTCCTGGCTCAGCACGTACGGCTGATCCACGTATGACTGCTCCACGCATGGCTGTTCCACGTACGGCCGTTCCACGTATGGCTGTTCCACGTATGGAAGGTCTTGGTCATCCTGGTCCTCCAACTCCTGACTCAGCACGTACGGCTGGCACACGTACGGCTGGCCTCTGTCGCTCTGCTTCTCCGTGTCCCGCCAGACGCCCTTATTCGTCATGGTCACCTCTTCATCGCAACCCAGGGCAAACACCTCGGTCGGCCTATCGTCCACGACGCACGGCTTCCTACTACCTCTCCTGCTACTGCCAGGGTAGGCGGAAGCATAGCGTATAGTATGGCGCACGTCGTCGGGGCCGTAGCACCTCCGGCCGTTCTTATTCCTGATGTTCACGGACGCGGCATCCTGAGTCCTCACCCAGCTCCTGGCGCCGAGGGTCACGGCCGTCGGCAGCCCGGTATCCACGCCGAGACTTCGCGGGCAGCCGCGGCCCCGGCCACGGCCCCACCCCCACCGCATCGGACGGTCAACGTCATCGAACGGGTGGATCAGCGCCGTCAGGGGCAGCGCAGCCTCCGAGACGAGATGCGACGTCGCGTACGGCTGTACGGACGAGTACTCGATACCGTGCGGGGCGTACACGACGGACAGGACGCGATTGCGCACGACGGACGGGAGAGAGATGGTCGAGCAGCTGGACGGCGTGACGGGCGGCGTGGGCGGCAGCGGCTTGAATATCGCCGGGCAGGTGTGGCGCATTGGAGGAGGCGAGAACGGTCTCGGCGGACGGTACGTGATGCCCAAGGCTGTCCGGGTGCTACTGCTGCTGCTGCTGCTGCCGCCGCCGCCGCGCCTCAGGCCCGACGTGATGAGCGAGACGGTGATCTCGCCCGGCTCACCACCCGGCTGGACGGAGCGGACGGCCAGCCTCGTGGAGGAGTCGCGGGCCGCCAGCCGCTGCTGTCCCCACGGCGTCAGGTCCTGCACCCTCTCGGCGTCGACGTAGCCCCGCGAGCGTATCTTCCTGGCAACGTGGGGCGCGGCCAGGACGATGGTCTCGTCGGTGGACAGCCGGCGGAGCGTCACGTCGCTGCAGGTGTCGTGGCTGAGGATGATGGCGTCGGGCGCCGGTATGTCGCTCTCCGCCTGGGTGCACTCTGGGTCCAGGAGGATGCGAAAGGGTTGGGCAAAGGGCAACGCGTCGGCGCCCACGGGCTCAAAGGTTAGGAGGAATGAGGAGGAGCGGTTGAGCTGCTTTATTGACACTGCCATTTTGTGTTTATCCCCTTCTTCTTTTGCCCTGAAAATATGCACGAATGTATATATATTAATGTTCTTGTATGTAGAGATTAGACATGTTCCTGTCAGTCGGGTGGGGACGAACGGTATATATATATGTGTGTATATATTCACATCATATCAATTACATGGACGTCTGTTCTAGGGAAGCTCGGGGGATACCAAGATAGGTAGTCTCAATGGCACAAGACGGCAAATAGACTGAAGAAAAGATCATCCCAGAAAAGAGAAGATCCGGTGACTTTCGGTGCTGCACACGACAGACGGCCCGTACATGCTTGGTATGTAGTGGTTCGAGGTACCGCAGACGGCCCCGTTGTCTTGCACTTGTCTCTCCGTTGCATCATTGCCGTGATGGAAACGATCATGTATGACATGTACATGGTGAACACGGCCAAATGGATGGGAAGACTGGCATCTCTTGTCTTCTCCTTTCTTCCTCTTCTTCTTGTCCTCTGAAAAACAGACAAAAAAAGAAGAGGACATATGAAAGAAAAGAAGGAGGTGAAGAAAAGAAAGAGAACAAAACAGCAAGCTCCTAGACAGAGATTTATTTAGCTTCTCGTACAGATAGCTTCAAGATGGGGTTGAGACGTCAAGCGTGTTAGCACCACGGTGACATGTCTCACCCATATCCCCCACCGCCTGCCACAAGAAGGAAAGACATGGCCCGTACGGGAACGGACATTCAAATTCAATGCGCATGAAATCAGCAAGTATCACGAGTGATTAATCCATGTGAGGACATTATTGCCGCAGAGGAAAGGAAAAGAAACGGCTTGAAAAAAAAAAAAAAAAAAAAGACAGTCAAGATTTCCCATATTAAGTGCCGAGACTAGAGATATTCAAGGTTGATCTGAGGGAATAGATACACATAGGAGCTCTACCTGGATGAGCCCACCTAAAGAGAGAGAGCTCCAGTCACCAGGGGTCTTGTTGTTCACAGAAGGAGGCTGAGAATTCTCTGGGAAAGGTCCCTACACAGGATACAAAAAGAAGAAGAAGAGGCGGCTCGGAAGTTTTGAGTGTGGCAAACTACTTTTTTTTTCTCATTTTCTTCTCGCTTTGCTCGAACCGGAAAGAAAGAAAGCCTTTGCCTCTGTCGGGCCCGTGCCACGCTAACCTAAGGGTGTTGAAGAGATACCGGAAGGCGTTTGGTTCGAAAATTTCGGAGGAGCCGAATGTTGCTCGTATGACCGGAAAAGGTGGATGGGTGGAGGGCGGCTCGCCCGTCAACGGCGGCGCTTTGCTTCCTGTCTCTCTCTTTCTCCCTCTCCCTCTCCCTCACTTTTACTCGTGGCACTGGACAGGCCCTGCTCGTGGAAAGTGGGTAAGGGTGGAGGGAGGGGTGGGCTTGGCAGAAGAGAGCAGGTAGGGGTTGGTGGTCGGCTCTTGTTGGAGAGAAGAAGAGACAGAGAGCTGTCGGGACGAGAGCTGCATTTGCCGTATAGGCCGTATATCTGTACGTTCTCGTTACTTTCTGAGTCAAGGGTTACATAATACTGCCCTGCATGAGGTGAATGGGCCTTCTTGACTGTCTGTCCGGAACATCAGGGAGAAGAAGAACGTCAGAGTGAGGGAAAGATTTGTTGGCAGTATTAGTATCTCTCGTAGAGAAAAAAAAAAAGCACGGAAGCGGGAGGTGGGGATGGAAGAGGAATAGAGAGTGGCGCTAAAGAATTAGCAGCAGCTGTCGTAGTACACGAGTAATAATCACAAGCTGTGGTGATTATTGCTCGTAATTCATTGGGGGGTTAAAACAATCCAGCCAGTGCTGCGAGAAGGGCAGTGCCGTGGTGGCGGTGGTGGTAGCGGTACTCGTAAAGGAGCGGCATACAGACTTACGCAATCAACTATTGAATGGTGTAGTGAGTAGACGCAGCTGATTGAGGGCCATGAAGAAGGTGCAGCAGCAGCGCAGCAACGACAGTGGGCAAGTGCAAAGGGTCGCGATTGCTTCTCGTAGCTTCGGTAGCTGTAGCTTATATACAAGGAAGGTGGTGCCCTCGCACCTTCCCCGCTAATAGATAACAGGGCGGAAAAAAGAAAGAGGGGAAGGAGAAGAGCAAGGAGGAGAGAAGAAGGAAAAGAAAAGCGATCCGGAGTAGTGTGCTTCCATGCTCGTGAACAAACACTATTACCACCCAAGCACCCTTGCACGCAAACAGAACCTTCCTTCGCCTCTCCTCTCTGCTCCGGCTGTCCGGTCATTGGACAGAACGCAACGACGGATCATAATCAATTGTCAACTTTAAGTGGAGGATGGTGGTGACCATCTTGCCATGTCTGGCTGGGCTGTGACGCCAACCAACATGCAGTCCCGCCCATCTCGCCATCCATAGTTTACCATGCTGGGAATGGCGTGTCTTCTGTGCGTCCCCGCTGTCGAACAAGTCAACGACTCAGGGTTCAGAAAGCTTTCCCTCTATACCACTACAGGATGAGACCGATGAACTCATTTCCACACTCAGAGACAGACAGACATACACACACACACACACACACACAGAGAGAGAGAGAGAGGGAGAGAAGAGAGTAGGCCAGAGAAGCCAGAGAAGCCAGAGAAGCAGCAGCAGCACCCTCCAACTTGGGGCGGCCACCCACTCTCCCGAGTCATTTCCTCGACCTTTTGAAAACGTCGCCGTCGCATTCCAACCGCCCGCCACTGCCACAGCACACCCAGATTCTGCCCTCCGGGTTCGGTGATGCGGCCTTTGCCTGAGTCAAGTGACCGGGTCTTAGCAGCTTCGGAAGCTCCATGGGCAGGGGTGGTGGAGGCGAATAATAATTGTAGCTCATAGCTGCTTACGACGTATTACTCGGTACCCATTCTGAAATGCACCCACGATCAGTGGAGAGGCCTGGAGGAGGGCGGGCCCAGAGAAGGCCCCCAGGAAAGGCCCCCGGGAAAGGCCCCAGAAGGAAGAGAGACCATCCATGGCCGGTCCAGGGCCCAGCAGCTAACAGCAGCTAACAGCAGCAGGCTAGCAGCAGGCCAGCAGCAGCAGGCTAGGCGGCAGCAGTAGCAGCATCGGCAGGGCGGGCAGGGGTATGGGTCCAGCGAAAAACGACTCCTCGTTCGAGTCCTTCGACGCTCGTTCGACGCTCGTCAATGTCATGGGTCCCAGTCGGTTTGACAGACAGAGCTTCATTCCCAAGCTCACCATTGGCCAGTCGGCAACAGTCCCAGGCTGATCACCGACCGTCTCCTCTTCGGCTCCAATCGCTCGGTCATGTCATCCGCCGCCTATGTGCGAGGGTACTATTACAGCCGTACATGTACGGAGTACGAGTAGTATTGTTGCTGCTACTCCGTACTGCTACTATTACCAACAAGCCCCTGCTACTACTCGTACCGGTCCTCTCCCTCTCTCTTTCCCTCACTTCTGTTGCTCCCATTTACCCTCACTGTTCAGCAGTCTCTATCTGCGCCAGTCCTGTCCCGGCTTTGCGTCATTCTCCATCTACTGTTACTGCTAACCTCTCTCGCATCTCTTTTCTCCTCCCTTGAAGTTTTCCCTCTCTTTTCCCCTGCTCTACAATCTACAGCTCATCTTCACTCATGCTATATCACCATTAACCCCTCCTCGTGAAGCGTCCCCTCCTCCATTACCCATCCGTCCGTTTAGAACCTGTCAAGCTCCGCCGAGAACCGTTGGTACTTGGATAAAGCGTTCGTCCCCCGGCTGTCGAGCTTCAGACTTTTTTATCCCGTCATTTTTTCCCTCGTCTCTAGCACTCTTCCCATTACACCCCCCAAGCACAACAACCATAGACCTACTTGCTACCCTTACGCCACTCGAGATACCTCAGCTTCGCCCATCTCACAAGAGGAGAAGGGAAGGGGGAAAGAAGAGGAAAAAAGCTTCTGCCCGTTCTTGCTCTAGCTTTGAGTACTTTTTAACTTTCTACATATACCCCCCTCCACTCTGGAGCTTTAGAGCTTTGCATTACCCAGCTCGCCCTGTTTCGGCTTTCTTTACCCTTTTTATTTTTATTTTCTTACCCCTTCGATCACATCCATCCTCCTTCAATGATCATCACCTGTCAAGCTATCCATATCATCTTCTAAATACAGCGCACGTCTTCTCTCCTCTCCCTCTCACTCCTTCGTCAGCTGTCGTCGCCTTTCACAGGTAGACCGGACCCTCTAATCTCCAACGCCTGCGACACCCCGCCAAATCGGTCACCTGCGTCTTGGTGGGGTTTTGTTACTCGTTGACGCACCATGCCGCCTCGCACGTCGACGGCCTTGACCTCGTCCTTTTCCATCTCCGACTCCAAGGACGAGGTTGTCTGCCCCCTGAAGAATCAGGATGGCTCTAACTGTCATAAAAGATGTCTCGGTGTAAGCTACTCGATTCGGCGCGGACAGCAAAGTAGTGCGAGCGGCCAATCCAATACTGACGCCTGCATATCCAAAATTTAGGAAAAGAGGTATCGCTCCATGCAAGAGCACATCCGCCGTGCCCATCCAGAGCACTACATCCCAAAACTCCCAGCCACCGAGGAGAGCTTCCTGCTCATGATTCACACCCCTCCGTCTGAGACCCGCAAGCTCGAATCGAGTCCAGCTGTCAATTCCAAAAGTCAGTGCCCTCTCACCGGAGCCCACTCAGCTGCTCAGTTGTGCACACTGCTGACCTCACCCCAAGACCTTCACGACCGCCTGTCGTACCACCCGGATGACAGGAGCAACCCTGGAACGCCTCGGCGTGACGAAGTCGGTCACCTGCAGGGAGCCGCAAACGCCGCTGCCGCCTTGGCCGAGCTAGGAGGTGTCAAGTCGGAGAGTGCGTCCGTCGAAGTGGTACGTCACCCATGCAATCAATCGCTGAGTTGCGTGTTGTGGGCGCATGGCCAGCAGGCTCGCTCTCCATTTTCCATCCAACGACAACCCTCCTAACGCTCTCTACTCTCGCAGGACTATCCAGAGACAAATGGCCACCGCATCCCTAGGTCATCGGTAGAATTGCCCCCCATCAACATCGCCACGGGTGACATCACAAGTGACCCGTACTCTACGAGCAACTCGCACCACCGCCCGCGAGACATCCTCCCCTCTATCCTGGGCCACTCACCCCCCGGGCGCTCCTCCACCCTCCCCCCTCTCCAAAGGCCCCTCGGCCCTAGCCGGCAACGTAAAGCATCAGTGACCAAGCGCGGGCGCGAAGTCCAGCAGCACAGAAAGAAGAACTCGCGGGGAACGGCAGCCGAGTGGCTGCGCCGTATCCAGAATGACGAGTGTCGGCCAGGCATCGATGGCCGCCCGCACTCGGCAGAACCATCTGGCGATTTTGGCTCCCGCTGGGAGGATCTCGTCGAGGCTGCTGGCAAGGCGGCTTCGATGTCGGGTGATCCAGACGAGGATCGGACTCCGGTGAGTGCTCTCTCATTATGCCCGACTATACACCATCGTGCCTGATGCCGGTACTGACGACACTCCCAGATGCCTCAATCACCCGTGTCCCAGGCCTCCGCCCCCCGCTCGTCATTGCCACCCCTAACGAGCCAACCCCAGCTCCAGACAAACCACTACCAGGCATCTCCCTTACAGCAGGCACTCACCCCACCATCGTATAACCAGGACGCCATCGACCCCTTCCCCTCTGTCGAGAGCGGCGACAGCGGTGGCGGCGAGGGCTTCCACATGGTGCCCCACGGCCTGTCGGACTCGTCTCCCAGCTACTCGTCGTCGCATGACACGCAGATATACTGCGCCGCCTGCAGGGGCATATCCAGGCTCAAGAGCTCGTACGCCTGCACCGAGTGCATCTGCGGGCTGTGCCACGCCTGCGTCGGCGTCCTCATGCAAGAGCATGGAGCCAGAAGGAAGTGTCCCCGCTGTGCCACCATTGGCGGGCGGTTCAAGCCTTTCCAGCTCGACATTAGATGAAGGGTTTCATCATGAACCCACAACATTTTCTCGCCTTTCTTCTTGATTTGCCATTGTCGTTTCCTCTCTCTCTCTCTCTCTATCTTGACACGAACGTCCCTCGTTTCTATTCGACGCACACTTCATTATTTGGGCTCATCCACACCTGCCCAGCATACTCGACATATACAAACTTATACGGCGCATTGGGAGTGACACATCTTAACGGGAATCTTCTTTACTTATTGGGGTTTTTCTAACTTCTTCTTCTTTGGACTTTCTAACTGCAATATTCACTCTAGGTTGTTCATGATGTTACTTTACCCGTCATGCTTTGGATGAAGAGACATTTATGATGAGAAAACATCTTTGTTTTTGTTTTTTTTGGATGAAAGACTTTCCTTCTTTTCCTTCTCTCTCTTTCTCTTCTCTTAGGATCATTCACTCTTCTTTCGGCGTTGTAGTTGCCCTCCTTTTTTCAAGGGATCCTTATGAGAAACCGCCATCGGGCATGCTATTTGACTGTTCATTCTCGTCTCTCCTTGCTCTACACTTTAAGAAATGGGGTTCGAATCCAGACATCACAACCCCCACAGACACGACGGTAGCTACACTGTTTCTTCCGCCTGCACTATTTTCCTCTGGTTCTCGTTTGCGACATATCAAGTTGCATTACGGTCTTTATTCCAACGTCTAGATTGCATTGGGAAATGTATTGTTCCTTTTATTAGTCAAGTTTACGAATGTTATACCGGTCCTCATTCCTGTTTACTTATTCCCGTGACGTACATGCTTGTGTCCTCTGGCGGTATATATGATATGTCTTGTGCACTCACAAAAACACGCGCGCGTATATATATATATATATGTATATATTTGATGCCATGATCATACAGAAATTGCATGCAGTCTTCCCTAGTCTAATCTACCGTTTAGCCTTCTCCCTCGCCTGCTCGAGAAGGGCGTTCCTCACGGCAGCCCTCGAGTTGCGACTGCCACCCAGCTTGGGACCCCTAAGCACCTGGATGGGCTTGCTGATGCCGCCGTGCAAGCCTCCCTTGCCGGCAGGCTTCTTGCGGTACGACTGTATGGCCAGCCTCTTGCGCTCCCTCCTGCGGGCCATTTCCTCCTGGAACTGCTGGCGGAACTGGCGTGACAGGCGCTCGTCGGCCTCGCCGTCAACACCGGTCGAGGTAGTCTGGGGTTCCGGTACGTCGTATACATCCACTACCAAGTTCACTCATTAGTCTCTCTTCTTCTTCTTCTTCTTCTTCTTCTTCTTCTTCTTCTTCTTCTTCTTTTCTTCTTCTTCTTCTTCTTCTTCTTCTTTTCTTCTTCTTCTTCTTCTTCTTCTTCTTCTTCTTCTTCTTTTCTTCTTATTGTTCTCGATTTCAGAGGGGTGGGGTGTTTCATAGGAGAACATACGTCTGTTTTCGTGGAGAAATTCCTCGACCATTTTATCACGCTTGATGTCGTCGCTTCCGCGGCGTTTACGCGCCTTTCCATGCTTGGTGGATGGTGCAGCGTCAGAATCGGTCGGCACTTGACGGCCTTGGCCGTTGCCTTGTGACTGCCTGGGCACTTCGACCTCCATCAATTTCCCTTGGACGAGAGGCTGGGCGGACTTGGTAGATGGCTGGGACTGCAGGTATCTTGTTGCGGCTGCGGCTGCCACATCGCCTTCGGTCGCGTCGTCGTCGTAGTCGTAGTCGTTGTCGTCGTCGTCGTCGTCGTCGGGCTCCGCCTTACGTAGCCGGGATTCTATGTACTCATTCCTTTAATGATTAGTCCATTGCTTTTCTTTCCCCAGGAGGGGGGGGGTGTCAGAGAGGGAAAAAACGAACATGTGTCGGTCGTTTATGTCGCTTATCAGACCGGTCTGCTTGGTGAAGCGATCATCTATACCCATCAACACCTGGGTCTCGGGCTTGACCAGCGCAGACGAAGATGATGATTGATTTGATGATGCGCCGCCGCCGCCGCCTCCAGCGCGAAACGCCACGCCTTGAAAGCGTGCACGACGACGAGCCTTGGCTATGGCGGCTGTTTGTGTGGAGGTGTCGTTGTCCTGATCTCGGTTGCCGTCGGACTCGTCGTCGTTTTCGGGGAAGTAATCTGATGCGACAGCTCGTTGGGCTGGTCGCTGCTGTTCAGGTTCTGCTGCTGCTGCCGATGCTGCTGCCGATGCTGCTGCCGATGCTGCTGCCGATGCTGCCGCGAGTTCGGAGTCATCGTCATGGTCGGATGCGCGTTTGCGAAGGAGGAGCTTGCGCTTCCTACCGGGACGGAAGCGCACTGGTTCCATCGGAGATTGTTCTGTTTCGGTGGACATGATGGACCGTATTCTTGGCAAGAGACGATTTTTGTTGTTTTGTTTGAGGGTTTGTTTGCCAATGGAGAAGGGAAGGGAAAAGACGACCCGGTACTAAACTTTATGGAAAGTCCGTGATTTACCCGGTACAATTTGCCACTCTAACCCCCCCCCCCTCCTCTTCAACTCATCAACAACGACAGCATCATCCGAAGAATCATGGAGAGGGTGAGTTCTTTTCCTTTTCATCCATATCCTGAGTCTCTTTTAGGGAAATTGTTTTTTCAACTCTATTGTAGAAATACTTTGTTGTCCACGGTGGTATTGTCCAAGGTAAGAGATACCTTTTCGCTTTTTATATAATATATGCGGAATTGCTAACTTGCTAAGGTGTTGGATTTCGGTATGCTTTCTTTCTTTCTTCCTATTCATCTAATTTTCTTTCTTTTAAAGAAAGAAAGAAAGAAAGAAAATTTAACTCATAAATCGTACCTGTCTAATAAACATACAATACAGCTACTTCGCCCGTCAAAGAGCCGAAGAACTTGGCATAACAGGATGGTGCCGCAACACGCCAGACAACAAGGTAGGATTCCATCCTTTCTACGACGTCAACGACAATGATGAAAATGGTGAACCTAACAGACTCTGTCCAGGTCGAGGGCGAGGCACAGGGAAAATTCGAGGCGCTCTCCCAGTTCCTCAAGCATGTCGATGATGGTCCCCGACACGCCAAAGTCGTTCAGTTGACTGTACAGGAACGGGATGTGGTACATGGAGAGTCTGGGTTTGAGATCCGACGATGAGTGTCTCAAAGCATGGTTCATATATATATATATATATATATATATATATATACGAAAGAAGAAAACCTTCCCAATGTACATAGACACAACAATGATCCATCAACTTTGTATCAAGAAGACAACTCCATTAAATAAAAGAATAAAAGAACAGACACCGCTTATGCTCCAAAGAAGAAGAATGCTCGTCTATATACCCCCTCGCCTCCGTTTGACGAGGGGCTTCCTGACAGCCCCGTGCTGCGTAAACTTCTTCCCATCAGCCTCCTTCTTCTTGACCACGACGGACCTGTTCTTCTCGGCCTCCCTCCTCTCCTGGTCGATCCTCTTGTCCTCGGCCATCTGGGCCTCAATCTCGACCTTGCGGTTGAACTCCTTCTCGACGGTCCGCTTGTCGCGGGTCGAGTATCCCTTCTCCTTGACCGAGTAGAAGACGCCGCCCAGGTCGGCGAGCCAGTAGGGGTCCACGGCCGTGACGGTGGACACGTACACCTTGGAGGTGAGGATGAGCTCGTGGTAGACGATGTAGTCCGGGGGGTGGCCAGCGTACAGCGCGCTGGTGGGGTGGAGCTGCACGCCCAGGTTGGTGCGGAGGTTGGTGTACTCGCCCGAGCCCTTGTACCGGGCTGCCTGGTGGTAGTAGCCCGAGCAGATGGCGCGGCGGACCAGGTCCCAGTCCATGCCGCAGCTGACCAGCTCCATCTTCTGCATGCGCACAATGTCCAGGAGCTGCTCGCGTATCTCCTTGGCGCGCCGTAGCGACTTGGCGTGCAGGAAGTGCCGCACGCACCACCCGTCCGAGTACCCGTTGGCCTTCCACGCCTGGTACACCTGCAGGTACGTCAGGTGGTCCGACTCGTGCACCCAGAACTTCTCGCGCGCCGCGTCCGCCTCGTCCTGCCGCTCCTTGGGCCGGTAGAAGACGTTGGGCACCGACAGCATCGACACAATCGTTATCATCTCCTCGCTACATCCGTACTCCTCCGCCATGATGAGCAGCTTCGACAGCGACGGGTCCATCGGGAACGCGCTCATCTTCTTGCCCAGCTCTGTCAGCTCCCCCATGTTATCTAGCGCCCCCAGCGCCCACAGGTCGAACATGGACGTCAGTATCGTGTCCTGCGGCGGCGGGTCCATAAAGTCGAAGTCCAGCAGGTCTTTCACTCCTAACGTCTTGAGCATCAGCACCGTGTTGGCCAAGTTGGTCCGCTGGATCTCCGGGATTGTCTGCATGTACAGCTCGTCCTTGAACGCCTTCTCCGTGTACAGTCGGAACGCCTTTCCGGGCCCGGTCCGGCCCGCACGCCCGGACCGCTGCGACGAGTTGGCTTGCGAGATGGGCGTGATCTGCAGCGTGTCCATGCCCATCTTGGGATTGTACACCTTGAGCTTGGAGTAGCCCGCGTCCACCACGTACTTGATTCCGTCGACTGTCAGACTCGTTTCGGCAATGTTGGTGGCGACGATGCACTTTCGCACGCCAGGGGCTGCCCTGTCGAAGATCTTTGCCTGAAGGTCTGCCGGCATCTGACTGTAGATGGGGAGGATCTCCAGCTTCGGGGGGTCGTTGAGCGCATCAAGCCTCTTGCGGACCAGCTCGCACGTCACCTCGATATCTTCCTGGCCAGTCATGAAGACGAGGATGTCACCGGCATCCATCGACGCGTGGATGGAGAGCACCTGATGCACCGCCTGGTCCACGTAGTCCTCGACGGGGGAGCGGTGGAACATGACGTCGACGGGGAACGTCCTTCCGGGAATCGTGAAATCCGGCGCCGAGCCGAAGAAGTCGGAGAAGCGCTTAGCGTTCATGGTGGCCGATGTGACGATGAGTTTGAGGTCCCGTCTCCGCTGTAGAATCTTCTTGAAGAGGCCCATTAGAATGTCCGTGTTGAGAGCTCGCTCGTGCGCCTCGTCCATGATGATGCACGAATACCTGTCGAGATCGGGCTCGTTGAGGGATTCTCTCAGCAGGACACCGTCTGTCATGTACTTGATGACGGTCTCCTTGCTGGTACAGTCCTCGAATCGGATGGCGTATCCGACTGTGCTTCCCAGGGGGACCTCCATCTCTTCCGACACACGCTTGGCCACACTCATGGCAGCCACACGTCGAGGCTGCGTACAGCCAATCATGCCCCGATTTCCATAGCCTTCTTCATAGAGGAACTGGGTCAGCTGCGTGGTCTTGCCTGATCCCGTCTCACCGATGACAATGATGACTTGGTTCTCGCGTATGACGCGCAGCAGGTCCTCGCGCACAGCAAATGCGGGGAGGTATTCGCGCTGTTCGCGCAGACTCTTGCTCTGGCTGAAGTTGCTGGCCCCCTTGGCCTTCTCCTTGTTGGCGTTGAACTTGTTCACCTTGCGCCCCTCTCGGTCTTTGCCGTCCTCCTCGCCAGCCACAGGCAGAGCGCTATCGCCATCGTCTTCCTTGGCACCCATGATGTTACCCAGCGTCGTACCAGCCATGCTGGTGGCCTCCTGAGCCTGCCTCTGCCTCTCCCTCTGCTGCCTAGCTTCCTTGACGACCTTGCTCCCTTTCCTGCTGAAGACAGCCATGTCGCTCTGGTAGTCACGCACGGCAGGAACGGGCTCGACCTGCTTGGAGAAGATCTTGCGGCCGTCGAGGAAGGGCGGGCGCAGGTCGTGCACCAGGAGATGAACACGGGTGGCCTCGTCGTCGTCAAAGTCGGCGGCCATATCACGGCGCTGGGCGACTCCAGACACCAGCATGCGATTCGTCTCCCATGCATCGTTCTCCCTCTGTCTCTCCTCCTTGCGAGCGTCGTATCGACTCGCCATCTTCTGCGCCTTAGCCGCTTCGATCTGCTGCGACTCCCACGCCGACAGCTCGTACGAGGCAAAGGGGTTGTGGGCATCGTCGCCAAAGACATGGCCTCCAAATTCGTCTCCGCCATACCAGTCGCGGTCTAGGGCTTTTGCATCTTCATCGTCCGGGGCTGGGGCGTCTGCTGGATCGTCGCGTCGCGGTGTCGGTGCGTAGTGCGACTGGGACTGGCCTCGAGGTGTTGACGAACGGGAGGGTTTGAATCGAGATGCCGGTCGGGACTCAACCCTCCTCCTCTTGGGATTATACCCATCGTATTCATCGGCCATGTTTTCTCCCCGCCCTGATCAATAAGACCGATAGGGACGCTGCTAATGGGAAAAGGTGGGAAGATGTAACAGGATGAAGCTGTCGTGCTTCCCATACATAACTAAGTGCACACCCGTTTCCTATCTTCGCGAGGTTTTGCCGGCGCAGTTGCACCGACGGGCTGGGTTTAGCGCCTTGTAGCATTAAAGTCGGAAATCCCCCTACGCCATGGAAAAATAAAAAAAATGAATTGTTATCGATAAACCCCACCATTGGAAATTTTTGGAGGAAAGATATTTTGGCGTAGCTTTTGACGATTTCGCATGAAGGAAGGACGACGGTAGGAAGACAAGGCGATATATCAGAAGTTCTGTGCGACAGAGACAACTGCGCCATGACTTCGATGATTACGGCGGCCCAGTGGGTGCCTCGTGGGTTCGCGGCACCCTTCCCCAAGAAGTATAAGTTTGACGAAGAAGAGTTTGCGAGGATAGCAGACCTGGCCAAGCTTCAACTCGACGACGCCCAAGAGGACCTAAAGGAAGCCCAGGAGGGTGGCGACGACGACGATGACGGCGACGACGACGATGAGGAGGAGGCCAAGGGCGACCACTCTATGAATGTGGACGGGAACAAGCCAGAGAAGGTCAAGTATGTACGAGTAGAGAGAAGAGAAATCCTCTCCTCGCTCCTCCTTCCCTCCTTGTTTACTCTTTCCTGTTGAATCTGCAGACCACGTTTCGAGCACGCGCGCTTACATGTTGCTTGTCACCTGTCAGCGTAAACGACGACGACCTGAAGGAGTACAACCTGGACAACTACGACGACGAGGATGACGCACCCGGCAAGGGCGAGAGCATGGGTATATTCGGCAACGTCAAGAACCTTGCCTACTACGAGAACCACGAGGAGGACCCCTACATCACCCTCAAGGACGGCGAGGAGGAGGACGAGGACCGTGAGGACCTACAGATCCTGGCGACGGACAACCTGATCCTCTCGGCCAAGGTAGAGGACGAGCTGGCGCACCTGGAGGTGTACGTGTACGAGGACTCGGCCGACAACCTATACGTGCATCACGACATCATGCTGCCGGCGATCCCGCTGAGCGTGGAGTGGCTGGACCTCCCGGTGACGCAGACGGGGGCGCCGGACAAGGACGGGCGGGGCAACTTTGTGGCCATCGGCACCATGGACCCGGACATTGAGATCTGGGACCTGGACACGGTGGACTGCATGTACCCCAACGCCATCCTAGGACAGGGCAGCAACGCCACGGCCGGCGAGGACGGGTCGGCCAAGAGGAAGGGCAAGAAGAAGAAGGGCAAGAAGAAGAGGGCTAACGATGAGTACCACGTGGACGCGGTGCTCTCGTTGGCGGCGAACCGTGCGCACCGCAACCTGCTGGCGTCGGCGTCGGCGGACAAGACGGTCAAGCTGTGGGACCTCAACACGGCCAAGTGCGCCAAGTCCTACGCCTACCACACCGACAAGGTGTGCTCGCTGGCGTGGAACACGGCGGAGCCTACAGTCCTCCTGAGCGGCAGCTACGACCGTACAGTGGTGGCGGCCGACATGCGTGCGCCGGGGGCCAAGTCCCCGCGCTGGGGCGTCGAGTCGGACGTCGAGAACGTGAGGTGGGACCCCCACGACGCCAACTACTTCTACGTGTCGACGGAGAACGGCGTGATGCACTACCACGACGTGCGCGCCGCGCCAGCCGACCCTGCGGCCACAAAGGCCGTCTGGACCCTCCAGGCGCACGACGAGTCCATCTCGGCCTTTGACATCAACCCCATCATCCCCGGCTACCTGGCCACGGGCTCTTCGGACCGTACCGTCAAGCTGTGGAACATCCAGGCCTCGGGTCCCACCATGGTGGCGTCGCGGAACCTGGACGTCGGCAAGGTCTTTGTCACGACTTTCGCGCCCGATGGCGAGGTCGGCTTCCGTCTTGCCGTCGCCGGCAGCCACGGCAGCATGCACGTCTGGGACACGAGCACCAACTCGGCCGTGAGGGCGGCGTTTGCCGGCCGTGTCCCTGAACCCAAGGGCGACAAGGAGGACAAGCTGGTGGGCGTTGACGAGGATGAGACCGACAGTGACAGCGAGGAGGGCGAGGATGACGATGACGACGATGACGATGGTGAGGCAGACGACTCTATGGATGAGGCATAAGGGTATCCTGCTACGCTTACCCTGAACTGAATACGTCGCACATAGAAAAACGAGAGAATAGAGGTTGATATCTGATTTGTCCCTTTCCCCTCCCCTCTCAGCGTGTGACGGGCATTTCTGATTATATATGCGTGCTATGTTGTGTGCGCGCGCTTAAGTGTCTGCATAAGCGTACGCGGATCGTCAATCACATCACTCGTCAAAGACGGTAGGAGAAGGCGGCAGAACGCGCAGGCGAAAGTTTGGAAACACGTCTCTGTTATCAGTGGAGCTCTTTCTCCCTCGCTCTTTTCTATTGCGGTATGGAGGAGTGGGGGAGTTGAAGCACTTTCAAACGACCGGTGCCATGATGCTAAAGTGGGCAGAGAAAGACATCGAGAGAGGGGTTGGCTGTCTGTCTCTGCCAGGCCATCTCTGGCAAAAGCAAGAACGAGAAGGAAGAAAGTGACGAGTCCGAAGCTATTAATATATACAGGAGAGGTCCATTCGCCGTACTCAAATAAACCTCAAACGTGTCGTCGTAATAAGCATGGAGCGTGTTTGTTTTATGGTATCGGAAGAGAGTTGAAAATAGGCAACGTAGTAATATGGAGTATTTCGTTTCTAACCTCATACCGAAGCTACGCGTGTACGGGGGTGGAGTGTACGGTGGAGGAGAGAGAGTATAAACGAGAAACCACGATCATTACGAAGACTAATATAAATGGGGGAGAAGAAAAGACGAAGAAGAAAGAAAGAAAAAGAAAAAGAAAAAAGAAAGAGAAAAGATAGAAGAGAATAATACTCTGCAACCGCTAGAGTCTAGACTAGGAGGGACCTGAGACAGCAAAAGGTCCAGGGGTAGTTCGATGCGAGAGTGACCAATCACGTGGGGAAGGGGGATCTTGGGGGAGAGGGGGTGCTTGGGAGGAGATGGGCAAGGCATGGGTACCGATGTTGGAGCCTCTAAAACTACCAAAGACTACGAGTGAGTACAGGCAGGTGATGAGCACAAGCAGGTGCTGGGATTTACGCCGTACAGCGTATCTAGAGTACCGTGGTGATATCGTCAAGGTGAGGCGAGTAATGTATCAATAGCCGTAGTGGTAGCATGATGCAATCAACATGCTGCTATTGCTATGCAGTGGGTTCATATTACTCGTAATGCACTATCGAAAGGTAAGAAGGGAAGGGAGGAGGGGGAAGGGAGGGAGGGAGGAATCTATCAATGTTTATGTAATCCCTACCGCCTGTACTCCGTCTACGAGGTAATAATAACACAGCATCTACGAGTACAGCGGGGTGGCGCGAAGAGTTCGGCCCTAATCTGTACATTCGATATCATTGCTGCGATGCGAGTAATGAAGTAATACGCCATCGATCCATACGACCTCATACTATTACTCGTATATCCCAAAGTGAAGAACGGTGTGAAGCCTGATACACACGATAGCACCGACTAAGGGTACGAGTAGGCCGACCGCAGCACCACCCAGCAAGAAGCCAGAGCCGAAAATGGCAAGTGGGTGCTGGCTGTGTGGCCCGCGGAACCAGCGCAGCCTTCTTCCGTGCCTGGGCCATGAACCAGTAGAAAGGGAGTCCCTGGCTTTTGCAGGCTGCATGGGCTTAGTTGAGGCCTAAACGAAGCCCGGCCCGTTTCAGCGGGTCCGGGCAGATATCCAGGGCGTCTTCTCAGGCCTCTGGGCTGGGCGTTACAGCGCATATCCATCCCCTGTGGCCACCCGACCGGTGCAGTCTGCAGGTACTTGCCAGTAGGTACCCAGAGGTCAGAGGGCCAGAGGCCGACCTGACGCATGACGCTGCAGGACCTTGGAACGGTTCCCCCCCCTGCCCATCAATCCAGGACTCCAGGACCCCATAATCCCCCCTGTTCCCTTCCCAAATCCTTGCGAGGTCCCCACCGAGTCCCACTGCGCGTTTCTCTCCTCTCCCTCCTCCTCCTCCTCCTTCTCATCATCCTCTCCCTTCCCTCCTCCTTCCCGTCTTCGCTGTTTCACACATACACACACGCTTTTACTTCTTCCCTTTCGAGAGCGCAGGATCGCATTTCGCAAACTGGCCTCACTCCTTTGCTTTCCCTTCGTCTTCTCTCTCCTTCATTTCTCCAAGTCAAAAATTATCCTTCCATCTTGTTCCTTGGATGAAGTGACAATTTTTTCATCCTCATTTTTTCGTCTATTTATTTTACATGTGTGCGCGGCTGCTTGTTACATGTCTCGCTGGTTCGACAACGAAAAGCGCCCACACACACCATCGCCACTCCTCGAGACATCCGAGAGGAGAAACATTCATTGAAACAATACAGGAAGAAAACTAGAAACGACAGAGGGACATCGTCTCCTCTTCGCCTCACCTTATTCTGGAGGAGACGCTACTAAATATCAAACATCATCAACCGGTACACACGCGTGTACCACAGACGACTCTTTCTCTCCACCACGTCACAGGTGTCACGGAACATTCCATCCTCTGTGTTTTTCTCTCTCTCCCCTCCGCCCCGCAGGAAACATTTTGATAAAACCTTCCCTGTCTGTCCACCAGACTCGTTTGTGTGTCTGAAAAGACAAGAACCACGGCCCTCCTCCCGTCTACCTGTCGCAAGCCACACGTACATCGGGACCGCGCGCCTGACACACGCAGCAAACTGTGTGCCCTCTCCCCCTCTTCTCCGCTCACTGCAAAGCATTGAAAGCATCATACGTCTTTGCATCTGCGTCTGTGCTGTCAACCACCGTACCACGACTCGCCTCTCTCCTCTCATCCTACCTTTTCTCAGTTTCATCCTTCTTGTTCCCGACCACCCGATCACTACCCAGCTGCTCTCCCTCCGTCTCGAGCCTGATCCGCGACGTCACAGCGTCACGTCCAGATCCTTCGACCTCACCACCTGGCTGGTCCTCCGATCCTAGGAACTGCAGGAAGCGACTGTCCTTGCTGCTTCATCACAGCGACAGCAGGAGACCTTCTTCACGACGGGTATATAGCTCGCACAGCTCGCCCACCATGTCACTGTCGCGAGCCTTCACCACCCGCCGCGCCAACAAGGGCAGCACCGACATGGGTGAGGGTGGCATCAAGCTGCCTTTCCGAAGCAACACTGTCCACAAGGCTGCCTCGCAGCAGGCCATGCGTCACAAGATCTCCGGTCCCATGGAGCTCGTCCACACCACAAACATGCTCTCCTACAACGCCCCCGACGTGCCCCGCATGCCGTCGAGGAGCAATACTGTCTCGACCAGGTCCACCACCGAGGGTGACTACTCCGACAACCTGGCTGCCGACTCCCCCGCCTCCACGCCTCCCACCAGCCCCGACGGTGAGCGTGGTGGCTCGCCCGTGGTCGAGCCCAACCACCTGTCGTGCTACTTCATGGCCCCCAGTGCCGGCGTCAACATCGCCAACATGAACAGGAAGCACGCCGCCAGCGCCAGCACCAGCACCACCGCCACGACACCCTCTACTGCTCCCGGCGACCCCCCCGCCATCCCCAAGCGCTCGCCCTCTCGCACCAGGAAGCAGTCGTTCGACGCCGCCCTGGGCCGCAAGCACTCCATCTCCCACATGTCCAAGGCGTCGGATCACTCGAGCCACAACAGCACGACGTTTTCCAGGCCGTCATCCACCTCCACCAGGGCCTCGTCCGTCTCGCACGCCTCGATGCTCCAGACGCTCAAGCAGCAGGTGCCGCCCCCTCCCATGCCTCAGTCCCAGGCCGCTGCGCCTCCTCCCCTCATGCCGAAGCCGTCGGTCAGGTCCAACGCCAGCATCGGTCCCTTTGGACAGGAGCTGGCGCAGGTATCCGAGCTCGCCGAGGAGTTTGCCAGCAGCGCGAGGGCTGGTGGTGCCAAACTGGACATCATCCACGAGGACGAGCAGTACATGAACTCTCGCGGGTTGGCCAAGAGGACCGTCGACGACTACCTCTACGATATCCAGTCCCTCATGGCTACATTTTGGCCTACCGTGGATCATCACTCCAAGAAGTCGACGCCCATGTGGATTTGAAAAAAAGAAAGAAAAAAAAATTCAACATGACCCTGGCGGTTCCGTTCAACCCCTTATATTCTTCCGATACTGTATATAACTTTTACAATCCTTTTCCTACTTTTCTTTTGTATATAGGAAAGAATCATTTCCCTCTGTCATTGACATTCTGAGGAACATATTCAAGAGTCTAGGGGGACTCTTTTTTTTTTTTTTTTGGCAATCCAAGGGCTGAGGAAAGGCGTTGCAAATGTGGTGTTTATTGCTTTCTATACGTTCCTTTTAGTTCTTTTATCTCATGGAATTAGATATATGATGACGACGAGATACACTCGTTCGGCCCGATGGCTGTATTCGAAATTTGACTATGTTTGCTCTTGCCTTGCTTTATTCCTTTTTTTGATCCTGCGTCCCACCGGTCATGTTTTCTCCCCTGCTCTCCTCTCTACTCTACCTTTTGGCAGTCTTGTTGACGGCCTCCTCCTCTACACCTCATCATCCTCTCCCTGCCGTCACTTGACTACAAATCATCCCTCCCTGCTACACGGAATGCGGTACATGTAACCGCCCGCCCCCTCCCATCCAATGCAGACAGACCTGTCATACGGGGCTGTCAACGCCTGGCGGTAGTACATCAGCACCGCAACGGGGAACGCTGTGATGGCAATCTGTACTTGTACACCAACCACACATGTGCCGTGACCGGGGGGGGTGGGTTACACATGACCATTGTGCGTCATGGGGGGTGATATAGGGTATGGTTGGGTGGGAACACCTTGTTTGCGCGACTGGTCAGAGGACGTCCTCCTATCAGCTAATCGAGGAACGGGTATCATCGAAATAGCCATACATAGTGCAATAGTAGTCGTCACGGACAGGTAGGAGCGGTTACGAGTTATAAACTCCCCGAGCAAGAACTGGCCCTCAATACTGTATAATTATTCAATATCGATACGGCTATAGGGTTTCTGCTAGAGTATCGATGCCGACAAACCAGACGAGGTTCAACGAAGCAGGCTCGGAAAGAAGAGTTCTCCAAGATCTAGATACGTTCAATGTGCTTTGCATTTTTTCTTTCTTCATATATACATGACACTTTAACCCTCTCACATCCTTTTAATCTACACTAAAGTAATCGCCAGAAAAGAAGTTGAAGAAGAAGAAGAAGTTGAAGTTGAAGAAGAGGAAGAGGAAGAATTGTTACAAAAATACAAAATAGAATACAAAATAGAATATATATATAGTGAGCAGAAGAAGAATAGACAAAAAGAAGAGGATAAGAAAAAAAAGGAAAGAGAGTAGACCAAAAAAAACCACAAACAAGACTATGACCTCCCACCCAGAGGCTCAACAGACTTTACCAGATCCGTGACGGTGACGACCCGGTAGCCCAGGCTCTTGAGCTGCGGCAGGACGATCCTGAGCATGGGGGCGGTCCAGCCCCTCCTGTCGTGGCAGATGATGATGGCGCCCGGGTGGACCATGGACATGATGTGCCTGGCGTTGACGGAAGGGTACCTGATCTGCGGGTCGTGGGGGTAGACGGAGCCGAGGACTATGCGGAAGCCCCTGTTGCCGAGGAGGTCCCGCATGGCGTAGCTGAAGAGGCCGCTGCCGGGGCGGAAGTAGTTGTTGGGCAGCACGAGGCCCTCGTCGGCGTAGGCGGCGGCGAGCCTGGCCTGGACGTCGCGGACCTGGCGCTCGAGCTCGTCGATGGGCAAGTCGCGCGAGGGCTCGTCCCGCATGGCGTGGTTGGCCAGCTCGTGGCCGGCGCGGACCAGGGACCGGAGCTGTGCCGGCCGCTCGTCGGCCTGGGATCCGATGACGAAGAAGGTGGCCCGGGCGCCGTGCTCGGCCAGCACGGCCGCGATCTCGTCCGTGTGCGACGAGGGCGCGTCATCGATGGAGAGCGCCACCACCCGCTCCGCCGTGTCGACCTCGAACAGGACGTCCGGGTACCGAGCCCGCAGGTACGACACCAGGTAGCCCGGCGGCCGGTACACGCACGCCACCGCGTACACCGGCAGCACCAGGATGAGCGCCAGCAGCGCCAGCAGCGCCAGCGTGGCCATGCGGTTGCGTCGCACCCGACGCCGGATCTGCGCCGGCAGACGGAGGATCGAGAGGCCGGCCCGGGGGGGCATGCTGCTGCTTCGGCTGCCGCTGCTGCCCGTCTTCTCTGACGACGACGCGACGTGTCCTGATGATGAAGGCATCCGATCCTATTCCTGTCTCGCACCTATCTCTTCTCTCTCGAAGCCCTCTCTCTTCCTCTTTCCTCTTCTTCAGTTGGTCCGAGGTCGTAGAGTCATGGGCTGGGGAAATCTCGAGAGTGTCGGACTTGTTCGTCTGGTTGAGTGATGGGACAGCTGTGGCGGGGAGGAGTGTATGTGACGGATGCCGGTACCAGTCGTAGCTGCGGCAGCTGATGGTTGATAACGGCCCGTGGGAGGAGGGGTTGCTGTTGTTGTTGTTGTTGTTGTTGTTGCTGTTCGTTGTTGCTGTTCGTTGCTGATTCGTTGTCGATTCGTTTGCGTCCAGCTGGTATCTGTCTCTGTGTGTCTGTACCGTCCCTCCCTTGCCAAATCACTCTTCTCTTTAGTTTCTTCTTCTTTAGATCTTTTTCTTCTGTTCTCTCCCTGGTCTTCGTTTTTTCCCACGATTTGCTGTCCTTCTGAGAAGATGGATAGGATGGAGCCAAAAGAGCCAGGGGGTTAGATTTGGGGGTTTACGCGGGAACGGCAAGAGGAGGACGATTGGGTAATGATACCCCTGATTGGTCGAGGGAGGGTGTCGCTCATTTGTATACTGTGGCGATGATTTTATTGTTCCTTATTTCTGGTTTATCTTTATTAATTCTTTAATAACAAGAAAACTTGTCCCTTGCTATAATCTCAAGCCACAATCTCGTGTATGTGCATGTGCATGTTTTGTGCATATTTCATTTTGTCTAAAATAATATAATATAATATATGCTGATTTTAAGATATCCTCTCATTCTAAACACCTGTGTGTTCATGCTCATATACATATCATAAACTACCTCATCATGTTTTCTTCTTCTTCGTTTTCCCGCCTTTTTCTATAGCTCGGCATATCCCATAGTAGAGGAGATCGATAATAGCAATATAATAGCAAGGAAGCGGGCCCCGGGGAGGGGGAGAGACGAAAGGATAAGCCCGTTCCACGAGTACCGTACCTGGCCCGCTCCTCCCTCTCCCCTACTTGGTCACCTTGCCGGTGAGCTCCTCGAATCCCCTCTTCAGATCGTCCCTGAGGTCCTCGAACGACTCGACGCCGATGCTCACCCTGAGGAGCGTCTTGTCGACGTGAGGGTCCGTCATGGCCCTCCACTCGATCAGGCTCTCGACGCCTCCGAGGCTGGTGGCGTGCTGGAACAGTCGCAGCTTGCTGGGCAGCCTCTTGGCCGTGTCCGGGTCCTTGAGGTAGACGGAGAAGACGGGGCCGAAGCCGTGGGGCATCTGCCTGCGCAGCCAGCCCCGGTCGTCGGCGGCCTCGGGCTGCAGGCTGGCGTGCTGGATGCGGCGCACGGCCGAGGCCACCGCGCCGCCCTGGTCGCCGCCCGCCTCGGCGGCCAGCCAGGCGACGAGGGCGGCGGCGGTCTCGCTCTGCCTCCGGACGCGCAGCTCCAGCGTCCGCAGCGAGCGCAGGCCGAGCCAGCCCTCGAAGCTGCCCATGACGGAGCCGAGGACCAGGCGGTCGGCCGCCAGGCCCCGCTCCCACCCGGGCGCGCCCGGTCGCACGGCCACGACGCCGTACAGCATGTCCGAGTGGCCGCCCAAGTACTTGGTCCCGCTGTGCATCACCATGTCAGCGCCGTGCCCGAACGGCTGCTGCAGCGGCGGCGGCGCGAACGTGGCGTCCACGGTGAGGTAGGCGCCCCTCTCCCGGGCCACGCGCGCGTAGTGGTCCAGGTTGCGCGCCTCGCCCGTCGGGTTCAGCGGCGTCTCGACGTGGATCACGTCCCCGGCCTGCAGCTCCGACGGGTCGCAGTCCAGCGGCAGCTTCTCCAGCCCGGACAGCCGCGACAGGACGTCAATCACGCCGTGGCAGCCGTGGTAGCCGTCGCCGATGGCGATCCGCCGCGGGTTCAGCTGCACCAGCATCGCGTGGAAGGCCGACAGCCCCGAGGAGTACACCAGCGCCCGACCGCCCAGGAGGGACGTCAGGATCGCCTCGAGACGCGTCGTGTTCGGGTTGGAGTCGCGGCTGTAGATGTGAGAGTCGTGCGGGGCGCTAGGCTGTCGTGCCACGTCAAGAGTCAGTCTGTCAGTCAGCCAGTCGGTCAGGTAGCTTGACGGCCTCCGCCGCTGTCATCATCGTCGTCGTCGTCGTCGTCGTCGTCGTCGACAGGTTGCCAATAGTATAGTGTGGATGGGGAGATCTACTCACGTCGATATTGTCCCATCCTAGGAGCTGGTCTGGGTCGTCGCTGTAGCGGAACGTCGTGCTGACGTGCATGGCCGGAGCTACGGCTCGGTGCGCCGAGATGTGGTCGTCTGCGTGGACGGACCTGGTAGCCAGCGAGAGGTTGGCCACGGCCTCGATGTTGGGGCCGGCTTGGCCGCTCGGGGTGTCTTTTCTGTCTGAAGGCATCTTTTCTTCTTTTCTTCTTTTCTTCTCCTCTTCTCCTCTTCTCCTCTTCTCCTCTTCTTCTCTTCTCCTCTTCTTCTCTTCTTCTCTTCTTCTCTCTCTCTCTCTTCTCTGTCTCCCTCTGTCTCCTTCCCTTCACCCCTCTTCTCTCTTCCTTTCTCGGTTCTCGTTCTCGAACTTGACCAAGATGGCGGGCGGGTGGTGCGATGGTATTATACCTCGTATATGCGTGCACGTATACACCTTGGTGATGGGGGGAGGAGGGACAGGTGCGGAGTAACGGCTCCCTATGAGCTTTGCAAGCTGGGACAACTTGGAGAATGATGAGGCGGGTTGCGGCCCAGTTTCTGACTATTTTTTTCTTGAAGAAAATTCATTCATCATGTACTCATCAGGTGCAGCGAGAACAACAGCCGTCCTGGATACCCGAGCAATGATGGAATCATGCTGGTATTAGTTAGAGCTGATGAGCAACTAGACATGGACGGTCACGCAATGCGGGGCAATCGAGCACACTTCACAGTATCTAGACAAACTTTACAACTTACATACATGATGCAGGTAGCAGGCAGTGACAAGCAATAACAGGTACTCGTACGACTCGGCCGACTCATCGAATCCCCCAAGGCATACTACATACGCTGTATCGTCGTATTCCGGAATCGGGGCGCGGGCAGGGGTGGGACACTCTGGTATAAACGCTCTCGGCGTACTATCCGGCGACATTCCCCCCCCCCGGCCCCAAGATACTGACTCTCCTCTTCAATCTACGGCACGATATCGACAGATTCTTCTCTCTGCGCTTCCAACTCTATTGTCCCTCTAATTATAGGAATTAATATAAGTACAGGCAACAGCATTATAAACCCCGTTGGGGGTGTCTAAATCATCATCCTTTCCTCCTCAGTCTGTACACTTGACGTGTCTCCCCCAACATTGCAGTCAGCACCAATATACCTCCCCCTCCCTCACATTCTATATCCAAGGGAGAGGACGGGAAGAGAAGACAGCCATATGCAAAAAAGAAAAGAAAAAAAAGAGAGAGGTAGTGACTGATGCGATCGGAGCCAACCCGTTTCCAATTCCCAAACGCCTTATCGTCCGGGGGATAGGCGCCCGGGACAACCGAAAAAGCAAAAACCCGGTTATATGTCGCCCGCCCGTCCTAATCCCATTATTACGGCGTATGCTGATTCCTCGTATGCCGAATGATATATATATATATATGTGTGTGTGTGTGTGTGTGTGTATGTATTGTTTCTGTCGTCATCACGGTCGTTTCCGTCCTATGCAGTTCAATCGCGTCGCTCATCCCCCGTAGCCGTGATCATGCGCTGATGTTGCTGGTCCAGACTACCCAGCTCGGCACCCTGACCGCTATGCCCACGCTTGCGACCGGTCATGAGGAAGCGCGACACGGGACCGGGAGCAGGCGACGATGACGAGGTCGACGACGAGGACTCCTGGTTGTCGACGCCCAGCTTCGAGAAGAATCCACGCTTCTTGGCCTGCTGCTGCTGCTGCTTCTGGTCGTCCAGACCGACCTCTTCGAAATCCTCCTCGACGGTGGCGGCGGCGGCAACTCCCCTCATCGACATGCGGCTGCGGTCGATGGCCGAGCGGGGCAGACGGCAGAGGTTGGCCGAGTCGAAGCTCGTTCGGGTGGGGAAGTCGTGGGTGATGGGGGAGCGGGCGGAGATGTCCTGTGTCGTGGTCAGCCGTCTGCTCCTCGTCCTCCTCTCTTCTGGTTCGGTGTTTGCCGACGGGAGAGCAAGGCATGAAGCCCGGTGGAGGCGGTGGTGACGTACAAATGATCTCCTGTACGAGTCGAACGACTCGCGCGAGATGGAAAAGGGTTCAATATCGCAGCTGCTCCTGGTGTTGGTGTCGGTCGAAGGGCGACCGCCGGCACCGCTGCCGCCGAGGTACTTGCGCGGCCACTGGGCCTTCTCCTGAGTCGGCGACGGCTGCGGGAAAGGATGGTGTCAGCGAACGACCGTTGCAGTCCGTCGGCAGGTTGATGGGGTGTGTCTCACCGGAAGATAGACGCCGCTGTCGTTGACGACTGTAACTCATCATCGGGCCGCACGTCAGCCCCTCCTCGAGCGTTGGTGGGGTGTGTCTGCCCATCATGACCTACCACTCATCTTGTACTCTCCCGGATCGTGATGACTCTTGGGGCTGCCGATGGTCAAGACAGAAGGAGCCTTGGATCCGACGGTGTGCACGCGCTCGAATCCCGGCGCATCGTGCTGCTGCTGTCGAGGTTGGTCGCCGTCGCCGTTGGCGGTGGTGGCGGTGACGGCGACGGGGCCGTTGCGACGGGCAAAGGGGTTTCGGATGGGCATCGCTTCTCTTCTCTTCCTCTTCTTTTTACTCTTCAGAGAGGGGGAGGGAGAGGGAGAGGGAGGGAGAGAGAGAGAGAGAGTGTGTGTGTGTGTGCGTGTGCGTGTGCGTGTGTGCGATACGATAACGTTCTGGCACGATGAAGAGGAAGAAGAGACAGAAGGAAGGAAGGAATGACGATAGAAAGGTGTGGAGAGAGAGAGGAAGAGGACGAAAAAAAAAAAAAGAGGATGAAAATAATAGTAAGAGGAACCTGGAAAAAGGGAGGAATAATGTAATTGACCAGGTCTGCTACAGTATTATTACTCCGTGCAGTGGTAATAAAGATGCGTGCCGAATATGAATGCTAAATAGAGGGGGGGGGGGAAGGCGGGAGGATTGATTTGAATCGCATGGAGGAACCGGAATCACCAGATTACAGGGACCGTCCCATTACTACGAGTACCAGGTACCGATAATCTGTACATATCATCACAGTCTGACCTGTACTCCCGGTACTCCCAAGGAGTATCAAACTGTCCGACAGGCCGGTACTAGGAACGTCCGGAGGCATTACGGGCACGATCGATGATGCGAGCCCACCCGAGTAATGAAGAGTTCTAGGGCCCCGATAGGGGCCGTGCACTGTAAAAAAAGAAGAAAAATTCCGGTTTAGGCCCTCTGGCGGACGGATACAGGGGTACCTCACTATATCACCACTCAGTGCTCACCACGCTCCATCACCCCACCAGTGCCACCACAGCGCCCGGCCTCGGCAGGTCTCCACCCCTCCATCCCACCTACTGATGGAACCAGATTCGACGAGGGCATATATGGACAGACCAAGGACAGCCAAGGACCTCTTACTCAGTCAAGGCCTCTCCCCTCAGCACCGGCTGTGTCCGTCAGAGTTAAGTGGGCGGATGAGATCCCCCCCCCCCCCCCCCCCCCC